TTAATGATACATGTATCTCGCGGTCATGATTTGTTCCTAAAATTTGTGTGTTTCAGTTGCGGAGTTCACAACACTAACGCTTCAGATTCCCAACCTCACGGACGAGGACATGCTGTTCCACTTCATGGACGGACTGCAAAATTGGGCCAAAACGGAGTTGGAGCGGCGGCAAGTCAAGACCATAGACGAGGCCATCACACAAGCCGAGTCCTTGACGGACTATAAACATGAACGGCATGACAAGGCTAAAGGCAAGGATGCAAGGGGCAGTCATGCTAAAGGTGGGGGAGATCGCGGCCGAGGCAAGGAGCAGCAGGCGCACCCAAGACAGCCCGACTCCCACAAATCAGACGGCAAGCGGTTCGTGCGCCAGAACTACACGGATAGAAAGGCACAGACCACCAAAGGAGATGGATGCTACATATGCGGAGGACCACACGGCTACGCCAGGTGCCCGGAGATGAAGAACCTTGGCGCCATCCTACGCGAACGAAAGGAGAAGGACGCGCAAGAGCAAGGACAAGATGCGGGCACGACGCAACTGGGCATGGTAGGACTATGCGGGGCGATAGCCAAGCAGACGGAGAAGCCAGGAAACTTCAGCACGATAGATGAAGTAATATTTGAAACTATCGTGAATCTTAGTAATTAGGACCTAAACTGGTGGGATTTATGTAGTTTGCCTTGTTTAAAATCACGATAAATAGGCGGATTTTGGATTGAATTTAGACCGATTAAAAATGAATTGAAGTGTAATCAACTATACAAGTATCATAAAACTAATTAAGTCAAATATAAATTGGATAAAATGATTCTAGCCGGTATTTATTTTAGATCAAATAAAAATTGGGTAAAATGATTTTAATCCATATTTATTTTAGGTCAATTATGAATTGAGTAAAATGGTTCTAATCCGTATTTTTTTTTTCATTGTTTAATTCAGTTTTTCTTACTTGCATTCTTATTTATCTTATTGCTTTTTGTGTTCATAAAATATATTTTTAAAAATATGTTTATGAATTATGATATAATAAATGCATAATTAGACCTATGTATTCAAATTGGTCAATTTCATGGAACTGTCTTTTTTAAATTTCAGATTCTTTATATCAAAAAAATTCAACATCAAAATAATATAATAAAGGGAAAATCATGCAGCAAATTTATACTACTTAATTAGTCATTATAACTATAGTTTGTTATAATTACCACTCGCAACTAACATTATATATTAATTACATGGGCTGACTTCGAGTTTGTATAATTAGTCACGTTTGTATATGTATAATTCGCTAGAATATACAAATACATATGTATAATATACAATTATCTAACCGATATACATATACAATTCACCTCTCTCCCACTCTCTGCCCTCTCTCGCTCGCCTCTCTCCTCCCTCTCCCAATCTCGCTCGCCTTTCTCCTCTCTCTCCCAATCTCGCTTGCCAATTGCCATATATACAAATGCATATGTATACTATACAATTATCTATCCGGTATACATATACAATTCACCTCTCTCCCACTCTCGCTCGCCTCTCTCCTCCCTCTCCTAATCTTGCTCGTCTCTTCCCTCCCTCTCCCAATCTCTCTTACCATATATACAAATACATATGTATAATATACAATTATTTAACAGATATACATATACAACTCACCTCTCTCCTACTCTTTGCCCTCTCTTGCTCGCTTCTCTCTCTCTCCCAGTCTCGCTCGCCTCTCTCCTCCCTATAACATGTACCTACGAAATGCAATTATCAAACTATAGCTATGGAGAGTAATTAGGCTATTTTTGAGTGGCTACATGTGAAAGTTCCACGTTTCCCAGATTATTACGGATTGTCTGTAAAGGTTTTAGCCAAAAAAAATGCTCGAGAGTCGTATCATTAAAAATTTCACGGACCAATAAATAAAAAAAACTAAGAAAATTATCTAATTTCCGTTGAGTGGTCCCTAAATGCTAAAAAAGTGGAGTGGATCATAGTGAGGGGACATGTATTATTTTCCAGGTCATCACGAATGGTCCTGTAAAGGCTTTGCTAATTCATTGACGATATGGCTTCCAAGCACACTTTTTGCCAAAACTTTTACAGGACCAGCCGCAATGACCTGGGAAATAATACTTATACCCTTCTACATGATTCATACCACTTTTTATAGTATTTAGGGGCATGTCAACAAAAAGACGATTTTCTTAGTTTTTCATGTTAGTCCGTGAATTTTTCGTGTATGGTAGTCCATGAATTTTTCGTGATATGGATTCCCATTATTTTTTTGGCGAAAAAATTATAGGGCCATCCATAATGACGTGGGGAACCATACCCACACCACTTCTTGTTTTTGCATTTAGGAGTCACTCAACAGGAATTTAGCGATTTTGTTATTTTTTTTATTTGTGTTAGTCCATAAAGTTTTGGTGATATGACTTTCTAGCACTTTTTTGTTAAAAAACTTACAGGATCATCCGTAATGACATGAAGAATAATACTTAAAGCCTCTACATGATCTACGCTACTGTTTTGGCATTTAGGGGCTACTCAATAGGAATTAGACTATTTTCTCAATTTTTTGTATGTGTTAGTCTATAAAATTTTTTGTTATATGATTTTTCGGTATAGTTTTGCAAAAAATTTAATAGGATGTTGATGAACGATACCTATTACCTTTACATGATCCACACTACTTTTTTTAGCATTTAGGGACACTCAACGTGAATTAAACAATTTTCTCATGTTTTTCTTGTCTGTTAGTTAGTCCATGAACTTTTGGTGATCTGACTTTTCAACACTTTTTTCCCAATTTTTTTATTGGACCATCCGTAATGACCCTAGGAACAATACCTATAGCCTCTACGTGATCCACACCACTTTTTTAGCATCTAGGGGTCACTCAACAAGAATTAGGTGATTTTTTCAATTTTTTGTGTTAGTCCATGAATTTTTGGTGATACGGTATTCCGACACTTTTTTGACAAAAAATTTATAGGACCATAAGCAATGACTTAAGAAACAATACCTATAAACTCTATATAATTCACACCACTTTTTCTTCGAAATTTAGGGGGGCTACTTAATAGGAATTAGATGATTTTCTCATTTTAATGTGTGCTAGTCCATGAATTTTCGGTGATATGACTTTCTGACTCTTTTTTGCTCAAAATTTTATAGGACCATCCGTAATGACCCAATGAACTATACTCATCACTTTTACATGATCCATGCCACTTATTTTAATATTTAGGAGTCAAGAAAAAGAAATTCAAATTTTCTCAGTTTTTCATGTGTGTCCATGAATTTTTGGAATATGATCGACCGACTCTTTTTTGCCCAAAAATTCATAGGACCATCAGTAATGATATAGTGAACTACACAGAGTCTTTACATGATCAATGCCACTTCAATTAGCAATTAGGGGTGACAAAGCGTGATTTCAAGATTTATTTAATTTTTCGTTTCATGAATTTTAAGAATACTAGTTTTCGAACACGTGCAACGCACGTGTATTTCACGCTAAGTATTTTTTTTAAAAAAAAATATTACATTAAATGTGCAATGAGTTATATGAATTTTGAAAGGGAAGATTACCTTTTGTCTGATTTAAACTTCTAAGTCATTTCATCTTTGAATTTAACATAAATAATTAGTAAAATTGTATATACTATATAATATCATATGCAACATGACAAGCTATTAAAATCAATGTGTTTCATGCATTACAACACCGTATTAGACAAATAACTTCAAATTTTTTATTAAACCTCTAAAGTATATAATCTCATATATAACACATTTTTTCTATAGTAATCCATGCAATTACATATTAAAGTGTAACACAAATTAAAGATTAACAACATAAAGACACAA